ATTTTTTATTTATTTCGAAAAGGTAAATCGTTATTAATATTATTTTTATTATTTAAAGTCTTAAATATAAAAAACTTTTTTAATATTAAAAAAATAAAGGATATATAGTCCGAAATACTTATTTTATTAAATTATAATTAAGCGCCCTATATTACTAACTTTCTTACTATAAAAAAGTTTATTTCCCTTATAAAGTTAATAAAGGAAGAGGAGGGTAAGGTTATAAGGGGGCTTAATAATAACTAAATTAATAGTAAATTATTAAATTTAAGTACGGAAAGCTTAATCGAAAACTTTAACGATAATTTCGAGCTTAATATAAGCTATATAGAAAAAGCGGTAGTTTCTTCGCCGGCTTAAGAGCGGCTTTATAGAATAATAATAAAAAATTAGGGACTAAGTTTTTATAAAAAACTATAGTAAAGTAAATATTTTTATTAAAGTTTTTTTATAATATATTTCGATAACCTATAATTACGTAAAATAATAATTTATATTTTATTTATAATTAAAATTAATTATTTTTTATAAATTATTAATAAATTTTATATACTTAGAAATTATTAATAAATAAAGAAACTCGAAAATTATTATAAATATTAATTATTTACTATAAAGGAGTAAGACGCTAGTTTATTAAAAAAAGATATTTACGAACTAATAAATATACCGAAAAGCTATAATATTTTACTAAATAAATAGGTATATAATAAGAAAATAAATTTTTAAATTAATAAAATAAAAGTTAGAGTAAAGTAAGTAGTATATAATAATTTTAATAGAGATTCTTAAGTTATATAAAATATTTACGTTACTATTATAAATAATATAATAATTAAATATTTTTAAATTATTATAATTATAAATAATTAAAAATATTTTTAATATAATTTTAAAATAATATTTTTTAATATTAAAATCCTTAATACTATATAGTACTACATACGACTATTAAATAACTTAAATAAATTATTAAGTAAAGTATATTAATTTAAAAAAGTATTATATAGTTTAAAGAAATTATTTATTTATTAATATAAAATAATAAAATTTATAATAATTAAATTAAACTTTAATATTTTTTTATTAAACTTTTATTTATTCCGTTATAAAAAAATAAATACTTTAATAGTCCTATATATAAATAATTTATTTATATTAATATTTATAACGAAAATTATTAAAAATATTATTACCGGGCTAGAGAGTAAGTATAATATTAAAAAACTAAACGAACTAAAAAGGTTTTTAAGTTTTAATATTATAAGGAACTGCGGGAAGAAGTAGGTCTACCTATCTTAAGTAGCTTATATTAATACTTTATTCGAGAAGTTTAGTTATAAAAATATAACCGGCGTAATTACGCTATAGTTAGCTAAGCTAGAGCTCCCTTTTACGTAAAAGAAAATAACCGCGGAAATAAAAAAGTATATTCGGAAGACCGGTATATTAAATTAATTATTTACCGGTATTCGGCTTAATATTATTTTTATTATTAACCGCCTTTACGGAAGTAATTTTAGGCCCTTACTACGTTATTTAGAGTTAATAAAATACTTTTTCCGGTATTTAATTATTATTAGGAAGTTATATATTATATTAGGAAGCTCCGAGCTTTCGGTAAAAAATATAAAGGTTATAGGATTTATAGATACCTTATATATAAATATTTTAATTTAAAAATATTTTATT